CGACTTTTTCATCCAAAGACAAAGATTCTGGTAGAACTGAGACAGAAAGTTCATGACTAGGTATGCTTAACGGGCCGCAAAGCTGATGGTAAATTAAAATACTTAACTTTATGTTTCGATTTTGGTCCAGTACCTTTAATATTTGTGAGGCAAAAATAGCAATCAGTAGTACGGTCTCTCGGTACTCTCCAAACCATTGGTACCGCAAAGGGCATTTTACGATTTTCGCCACTTGACCAACCTGTTAACAACGTTACACAAGTCTTACAACATACATATATGAGGGGCCCATAGTTTATCTTGGTCGCCAACTTAATTACAAAATAAAGTTCGTATGCTTTTAACACAAGGGGAGTAAAAGTACGTTTTTGGGATTTAAAAGTTAGCTCCCCGCACACATAACAAAAACTGTTCGTATTTACACAATTTTTAGGCATTGTCCATAAAGCTAGTCTCGTTCACAATAAACTAAAAACAACACACCGTTTTATCAAAAATTAACAGGACTGAGAACATCTCAGTACTCTTCAATGCAGAAAACGTAACTGACTCGGCTGCTATTAGTCTACTTATAAAAGATCTCTAAACATAGAGCTCGCATATAATAAACAGGAATAGACAGGTCTTAACATTATATATGTGCGTCATCGCATAAACGCCGGGAAATGCAGCAATATTTATTCATCAAAGTAGATGTTACCGAATATCAGTGGGTGATAGAAAAATTCTGCTTTCAGATTTAATTTAAGGGTCTCAAAATACATAAGATACACTCAAAAATTGTCATGTCACAAATCCTGTGTTTATCAGTGAATGGTGTCTATTAACAAGAGCATCAGCTACTTTATAAACGTCTCCTAGATTCTGTATTTGAATGGTTTACTGGGGGATTTGAAAATAAATATAAAAAGTCAATTTTCATAGAGACATCTATTTTTGCTTATAGGTAAACTTCATACCCCTACTTCTCAGAAACTAATCATAGTACTAATTTGGTCCAATAAGAACTTTTGTTCGGGAATGTGCGAAATATATCCTATTGTTTTAGGCAAATCGACTGGGACCCATTTTCCATATGTCTTGTGCGGAGTCCTTTATCATTCTTACAAATGCAATATTTATTTTTCGTCAGTGCACATTTTTCAAAACATTTATAGTATTTGTTGCTCCGCTCATTTAGGCTAGAGCTTTAAATTCTAGTGAGTGAATTTCAGAAACTCATGTAGATACACTCAGTACTTTCCATTCTCACTCACATTTCTCATTTTCGCTAATACTTAGTGTATTATGAGTTATCTAGAATATTGAGGTACTATTTAGCGCGAACTTTTTGAATAAAAAATGAAGTCAAGTAGGTCATAAGGTTATGTTCAGCACAAGTTGGATTATGTGAGACAATATTGTTAGTCACGAGCATGTGTGATAGGGAAATCAAATGAATCAAGTCAGTCAAACAGGACCATGGGCATTCTTTCCTGCAGTGCCGGTAGTACCGTTCATCTGGCAACGTCGGCCCTCCCCCATACCTGACCGCACGATGCGGCAACGTGTCAGTAATGTCAGGGCACTTACCGAGATCTGGACTCCGGTGAACCCAGAGAGCAGATCGTATCGATAACACTCTCTATCAAGTGTTAAATGTACGGATGCGTGAAATATATCTATCAGGTGTCTAGAATTACGCGGTAGGAAGTCTATAAATATACCAACATCAAAAAATTTAGATATCTCTCGCCCCCTACAAACACCAACCCCAATTCTTAACCCGTACAAATTTTTCTCTATAAATGATAAGAAACTTCTGAAATATAAAAAAAAAATAAGTTTTTCCGTATTTTTGTCGCATAGTTCCGCCGCCACAGGACCGATTTTCAAAAACTACAGTTTTTCATTCGTTTCATAGTAGTAAACTTTATGTGAAAACTGCATTAAAATCCGAGCAGTAATTCCCAAGTTACAGACCCATATATTAACGGACAGACCGACCGACAGAAATAAGTGACACGTGATGTCATCTAACATCCAAAAAACAATATCTAATTTCAGGAATTTTTCGCGATTACAGTACCTCCCTACCAAGGGCGTAGGGAGTAAAAATATCTCATACATATTTTTATCAGTGTAAAGGTTTCATAGAATAATTTTTGTTCAATAACATGATAAGTCATTCACAGACCTTGAGTTATATCAGAAAATGTGTGTTCCTTACTAAATTTTAAAAATCCGTTTTTGAACTGTATTTAAAATTGATGAACAAGTTGATAAACACAGGGATTTCCAAAAATGACGAAGAGAATGACGATAACCCTAAGAAATTTTAAAGACATACAAAAATATTAACACACAATATGTGTTACGAAAGACGTTGATTTTATCAGAAATTAATTGTGCAATATTTTTGCCATGAAAACATTACACTATTGCAAATGCTTGTTAAAATTGATGCTATTGGGATATAAGACCTATTTATATCTTTAATATTTATTTCAGTTTGTCATAGATATAGATGAAATAATCTGAAAGTGAAACTTGAATACAACTAAAAAAGCCACCAATTTTTACTTGTTCCTTTTACCATGTATGGACTTGTCCAAAAATGAACAGACAATAGTGAAAATTATCCATATAGGTTTATACCAGCACGTTCTGGTTTCACTTTTAATATACAGCTAAGTAGCGAGTATAGCAGATACCACATAAGAACTGTGAATTGGTTAAGTGAACGCGAAATAAGTCAAATAAAATGTTTGAGTGTTTAAATTCACGTTATGGAAATTTAGAAATTTTTAGCGGTTCCTGTGTTGGTAAGAATATTGATTTTAATAGTTAGATAAACCTTATATTTGCTTACGAATATTTAGGGTTAGTCTTTTGGATTTATTGCTATCTTAAGGACCGTATGCATAGTCCCTCCTTATTGTGAGGACGTTTTTTTTATATACCGAAGTAGGCGCGTAGGCCTAAATACCAGGACACCGCGGTTGCTATGAGGAGCTTAAAGAGACTTTGTTAATCTGATTTTGGAACTGCCAGAGGCTAGTAGAATTGAGAAAAGCCTCATCGTCGGTGCGAAAGTATCCCGAGACTGCCGTTAGAGAAGAGTTATCGATGAGGCGGACCGCCCTTCCCTGAACAGCATCGAGCATGGATAGTGTAGTTAGGGTGACAGCACCCCAAAATGTGAAAAGTACTTGAGGCTGGGTCTTATTTGGGCCTTGTACAGAGTGAGGCGGTCATGCGGGGAAAAGTTCTTCTTAGCCCTAAACAAATAGCCCAACTTTTTCCCAGCAGCTGCCGCTATTGACGAGATGTGTCCGTGCCAGATCAGGTCCTCGGTGATCTGGACTCCGGCCAGCCAGAATGATCGGCAAATATTTTGTACGATAAAATACAGGTTTAGCATACCTATATATTCGTATTTGCACATAGAAACAATACATGGATGGGATTTTTCTGCCCTTGTACAGATACATGGGGTTTCAAAAATAAAGGTGAAGTGTTTGAGGAATCGGTCTATGGGTAACAGAAACAAAATATGAATGTGTGTCTTAAATTTTGAAATATATTTATAATATCTATGATACTAATCTATATATATATATATATATATATATTTCAGTCAAACTTAGTATAGGACTGATATGCATTACCAGGCATTAACTAAATGTTTGTTTCTTCCATTGGCGTTCAAGATGGATTCGAGATAAGTAGATTAAAAAAGGATTTAGCACAGTTTCAGTCCTCAGAAAAATGTCAGTTACGAACATTTACATCAGAGAAATTAAACGTATTAAGTTAGTTGAATAGGCCCATGCAGTTATTCCATAGACATTATTTCCTTGATTTACCGGTAGTTACTGTTCATCTGACAACATTGTCTCTTTCCACATATGCGCGGCATCGCTGCAGCGAGTTATCGTTTATTTCGTGCATGGTCCGTGTACCTATAAGTTTTTTGCACTGCAGTACGGACCGGTTTGCCGGGCGGTGAGCTTAGATAGCAGGAGTACGCGAATCGAAACCATCATAATTCAGGTTTTATAGGCAAATATATGGGAAGCGTGATGTGTGAATTACCGGGGTTGGGAGCGTATAAATATACTAAGAGTAAAATAAGCACGCATATACACACCCCCTACAACCCCAATTTCCAAATTTCAACTCCTACAAAAAATGTTATGAAAATGTTCATGACCGTCTGAACGCCAAAAAACGAAATTTGATCTGTATTTTTTTCGTTTTTTCTTCTGCCACTACTGGACCGATGTATAAAAACTACAAAGCTTTTTCGTCCTTGGACTAGTAGCAACTGTGTGAAAATTTGCTCGACAGGCCAAGGATTACAGGACAGAGAGGCAGACAAACCGACGGAAATGAGTGGCTTGGTTTATCATGTCATGTTATAACATCCAAAAACACTATCTTATTTTCAAAATGTTCCGCGATTACAATACCCCCTCGCCCAATGCCGTTGGAAGTAAAACGGAGTAATGTTCGTCCGCAAGTTAATGGAAAGAAAATTCTCAGTCCGCAATTGGAGGCCAAGTCACCACGTGGCCGGTAGATGGCGACTATTCTAGATGTGTAGTAGATGTGGTCTACTTGCCAGTATGTAGCCAAAAGCAGGAAACAGCTGGGTGGCTGTCGTTGGTCGGACTGACGAAAGCAGCATGTTTAGTTACGTTAATATAACTTTCCTGACTTAAAATAAATTCAACTTCAAATATATTTCCTTACTTTTGAAACACTCCTATTGCATATTTGACATGTAGATTATAATTGCTTTTCTAGAATTTTTTTGTCTGTAGTCATTATTTGTTCACTTGGTTAGAGTTTAGCATACCCTTGAAGGGTCTGTAATATTGTAGTATGTTGTGCTTTCACTTAAGGAATTTATTATTGTATCTGCGTTCAATTTAGTATTTTTTTTTCACGAGCAAAATAGGAAGAGGCTCTTTACGACTGAACCGCTCCCTAACGACTGAATTCACTCTCCTTAGGTGGCGTATCAGCAGCGAGTAGCAACAGCAGCATAAACTCAACGCCGCTGTCCTCTGTAGGCTCCACTCCTATCTCCTCGATAGGCTCCGCCCCGATGTCGGTTAGCTCCACCCCCATAGTGCCGATAGCCAATCCGATCGCTTCCTCAGCGGCGGCCGGTTCGCCGTGGACGGCAACGCTGCAGAACGGCTTTGCGCCGCCTGCGCCCGCTATCGAAGATAAATACGCAGCGTTGAAGGATCTGGACAACGAGATTCGGTCTCAGAAGGGCGGAGTGTTTGAATGGAGCGTGGGGACAACGAATGCAGGGGCGGCGTTCGGGACAGAGAGTCAGTGCCAGCAGGGAACGGCGTTATTTGGAACCAGTCCCGTGCAAGGTGAATATTGTTAGAATACGAGGTGTATAAATTAAGTGATGAAAGTGATTTTTTTTATTTAAATATAATTACAGTTTTATATTGTCACCCTCAACATAACTTCCTTCTGAATCCACACAGCGCTGGAACAGTTCTTCCACTCCTCATAGCAGTGCTGGAACTCCGATACTGGAATAACCTTCAACTGGTCGGCTTCAGCCGTTTGAATGTTTTCGACTGTTCCAAAATGAGTTCCCTTGATGAGATTTTTCATCTTCGGGGAGAGAAAAATGTCGCAAAGATTCAAGTCAGGCGAATAAGGAGACTGAGAAGCCACAGGAATGTCTTTATTGGCCAAATACTCGTTTATTGACATTGCTGAGTGACAAGGAGCATTATCGTGATGCTACATCCAGTTGTTTTTGATTTGATGAACGGTGGGGTGAGTCAAATTTAACTCTTCCCCGATCATTCCGACTCAACCGACGATCTGAACGTACAAGATCCCGGATTCTGTCAATATTTTATCGGTTCATGAAGATGAAGGCCTTCCGCTTCGTGGTTCAGCCACCGAAAAACTTGAACTCTTGACAAAACACTATCTTCGTAGGCCTGTTTAGCAAGAGTTTCCGTTGACTGTGCCCAAGTCGAACACAATAGAAAAATCAACCAAACGGCTCGAGCGAGTTCAAACTTGTACTGAAGGTGGATCACATATTTCTATGTCCTCCTTCCAAGTGCGGCGCCTCCAGTGCTGTCCGATCGAACACTTCGTTGCCAGTCTCATCACTTAATTTACAGGCCTCGTATTATATATAAACCGTAAAAACAAAAAAGCGTTTTTATTGTCAATCGATTAGTAGTTTGATAAGATGACGCAATATTCCAAGCGCAACTTTAAGTGGCTGTGATCACGGTCTATAAGTGCAAAGTTCGCAATTCAGATATTTTTGTATAAGATTGTCGCAATACTTTTTACTGTAAATAATTAAAAGTTAAAAATGTTTGTTTTGTGCTCATATAAAAATACCTGGGTTCGAAAATATTACGATATTTATATGAATATCATATCACATGGTACATATCCTTTATATAAAATTGTCAGTTGTTTTATTGAATAAATTGAATGTTGTAAGCTGCAATATATATAGATATTTTCAATACCAATATTCAAAAAGCGCATGAAAAATGGTTCCATTTTAATTTGTTGTTTCAAATATAGTAGTTAAGTTGGGTATCACATGAATCTTTAGTTCTTGTTTAGTTTAATAATCCATACAAAGATATTGTAATTTGTCACATAAACATAGTTTTTTTATGTAGTAGGAAATCGTAAATAAATAAATAAACTAATATATTTTGACACAAAACATACAAAAACTTATATACCAAACAACAAAACATTTTATTTCACCTCTAACAAAAAAGAAAAACATCAAATAGCGAATAGATTATTTTTCTTTATTTTATTAACATTTATATTGGCATATCGTCGTCTGATGAATTGATATCAATAATGGTGTTAGTGACATTAACTCTAGAATTTTCAGTTATAGCTGGTTCCCATGCACATTCAAGACTGCTTTTCTTTTTATCTATATTTTGATTCATGCGCTTTAACATGAAGCCCGGTTTACTGTCTTTTTAGCTTCGTAAGCGATTTCCTAAATCAGATTAGACCAAACCAAAAGACGAAAAAGTTATTTCATTCCTTGTCGCAGATGCCACTGCAGTATGCGACTGTTCACATAATTTTAAAAATGCATCCTCCGTCTGCCCATTACAAAGCAAATAACAAGACAAAAATGTTCTCTCCGTGCGCCGGGGATACACTAGATCTGCAACAAGGGATTCCCCGGTCAGCGATGCTCGTTCGGCAGCCGAATGCATCGATGCTATACAAAGACAGTACACCTCAGAGGCGTACTGAAAAATTTTCCGACGTTAGGATAGAAGATTTCTAATTCTTATAAAATAAAATTATTGAATATATGAGATATATATCAAGTTATAAATAGGCGTGACATATACGTTATATATATATATATATATATATATATATAATTTGAAAGGTAATAAAATACCAAAATAAAAAGAAAAATCTTGAGGAAATTTTAAAATGTCATGTTCTAAAATATTTGGATACAAAAAATTTATAGATCAACTTGAAATTTGAGTTATTTTCAGTGCCGGAAACCTTGCTTATAGTACGAGGGTGGTCCCAGAACTACCCGACCCAACGAAGAAAACCAAAATTTTGTAAAAAAAAAATTTATTTATTTTTCAACATAATCTCCTTCGAGCTCTATACACTTTTCCCAGCGATCTTCAATAAGTTCAATACCCTTGTTATAATAAGAAATGTCTTGCTCCTCAAAATAGCCATTAACTGCCGACAACACTTCTTCATCGTTGGAAAATCTTTGACCACTGAGCCATTTTTTCAAGTTTGGAAACAGAAAATAATCCAAGGGGGCTAAATCTGGTGAATAGGATGCATGAGGTAGCAATTCGTTAATTTTGGCCATTGCAATAACGGATTTGTGAGCTGGTGCATTGTCTTGATGAAACAACACTTTCTTCCTAACCAAATGCGGCCGTTTTTGCTTGATTTCATCGATCAAACGTTGCAATAAGTTCGCCTAATACTCGCCGTTGATAGTTTTACCTTTTCCAATATAGTCAATGAAAATTATCCCACGCGCATCCCAAAAAAACCGACGCCATAACCTTGCCTGCAGATGAAACGGTCTTCGCCTTCTTTGGAGCCGGTTGTCCCTTTTGAGTCCGTTGTTTTGATTGTTCTTTTGTCTCTGGTGTGAAGTGATGGACCCATGTTTCATCCATGGTTATGAAACGACGCAAAAATTCTGCTTGGTTGCTGTGAAACTTCGCTAAACACTCAATTGAAACATGTTCACGATACTGTTTTTGCTCGATTGTGAGCAATCGCGGCACCCATCTTGCACACAGCTTTCTCATGTCCAAATTTTCAGATAATATGCGATGAACCGCCACCATTTCTGGAGTCGTCACCTCATTTGGTCGACCACTGCGATACTCGTCTTGGCAGCTCATACGGCCTCGTTTAAACTCTGCTACCCAATATTTTACTGTTGTAAACGAAGGAGCAGACTCACCCAGAGTAGAATCCAGTTCAGCTTTTATAGTGGTTGGGCTGAGGCATTTGAAATAAAAGAATTGTACCACATAACGATGACCAATTTTCTCCATTTTCACAAATTCACTGAAAACGTTCAGTATTGATGGCTGCCAAACAAATACTAAATAACGTAGCGTCTCCAAACTTGACATATATGCTTTATAGGTTGCATACTTTCTAATCCAATGATATTCTTCAAACAACTATCGCCATCTCTAGGTCAGGCCGGGTACTTCTTGGACCACCCTCGTATAGAATAGAGAACTAGAAAAGAATTTATTTAGCTCTAAGCTACTTCATATAATAGTAGATATTATTTACAAAAAGTGTGTTAAATTTACAAAGTGGTCGACACATCAAAACAAAATGATCTCTATGAAGGCTTTTTTTATAAAATGTGGACATTAGAAGATGTTTCAACAATAATAGGCAGGTTGTTTTTAGACCTTCAACAAACATCGACTTTTATAAATATTTAGATTAAATCATTGTACATATTATGGAAGTTTTCTTTTGGCCTAATTTTGTAACCTTTCATTTTGAATCTTTTTTATAGAAAATGTTTAAGATAAGGTGGATCCTGATTGTTGATAATTTGGTATATACCCTGATCTTTTGGTTTCAAGTATCGGTTAACTAGTCCATAGTCATTAACGCTTAATTATCGTCTTCTGTGCGTGTGTTGATGTCAATTTGTTACGTTTTATGTCACAATTAAACAAAATGTCGGTAGGACATTAGCGTTTTTACTGCAATCGTTTCTTGCAAAATTTTAATTTAATGTTAATTGGATAGTACACGAATAGTTGTTACAGATTTTTTTAATGTTTTCAGCATAGTTAAATGAAGGAATGTGCCTCTAATTATTTCTTAGTGAAGTCGGGTCACCATTGTACTTGAGTCGTAAACACCAATAGGCTACTTGATTCATATCTAATTTCATAGAATAAATTAGTCTTTCTTACAGTATTTGGCTAATGAAAACGAACAATATCCATTTCAATTTTTGAAAGTGCAAGTTATGTATACAAGTCTAATTAAAAAAAATACTTTTTTTTATTTTCAATTCGAAACTGTAAAAACACTATCGGCCATGATGAGACGTCATACTAATTGTTAACAAAGAAACGTCATCCGTATGTCACTCGTGGACTAACATTGTCTTCTTTGATTATTTCTAAAAAAAAAACTAAATTAACGTAAACAGTTGCCGTTTTCTCGTTTTATTGAAATCATGGACCTTGGACTAGTAAGAGTAGAAAGCACACATTTGCCGAAAATTGACACATTGTGGATGCTAATTTTTTTGCCTTTAACTCAGCTCTGCTGAGCTGAGGAACAACTAACATCTATGTAAGTACAGTGCATCTGATATAATGATAAATATAGAAAGAAAGAATAAGTAATACACTTACATAATCTTGCTTTTCGAAACTCATGTGTCATCACCTCTGAATAATTTTATCTAATATTGTATTTCTTCTTACACATCTGCAAGGGAATCGTACGGTGATGATCCCTAGATTACGTCAAACTCAAAAGATTTTAGAGACGATAAAATCTGCACAGTAAAATGTGTTGTGCATATTTATTTCCCTGGGCACAGCTTTCCTTTGGTCTTTATCGATGTGTTATTTAATTCTCTAATACAATAACGATAATTATTATATTTTTCGTGTATACTAGTAGGAGTCACGTTTATATGTTTGAAAGTTTGAGAGGGTATGCTACTGTCAGCTGTTGTTTACAAATGGTATGATGTCAGAGCACATTAATATGGACCAAACATGGCGGACAGTGCTTCGCCTGTCTAAGAAAAATATATTTTTAAATTGAAGTTTTACAGTCTTTTAAGTCCGGAAAAAATATAGTATTAATTTTTTTGATCAATTAGAACAAATATCAACTAGCCTATTGTATCTGTCAATATTTGCAAGAGTTATGGATTATAATACAATAATAAAACCCTATTTTCAGTACTGTTCATCTTTATTGCATTTCAGCATACTACAAAAACTACAAAACATGGGAATGCGGGCTATTTTGCATTGCAACAGATGCACAAGAGTTCAAGACACGTTAAATACACTAAAGTAGTTGCCTGTAAGCCAACATCTTTACGTAATGACCATGGCACTTATATTCAAAATTGTAAAAGGAACTTTACCTAATTGTTTAGCTGCACCCCTGGGAAGAAGCAGTGAAATTCCTACCTATCACGTCAGATCCAACTCCTACTTTCAATCAATTAAAACCAATAAAGTGTGCATACTAAAAACAATCATGTACAAAGGGTCTTAGAGAATACAGTAAGTTACCAAATCAATAAAAGATGCAGAAACTATAGGTCATTTTGAGAAAGCACTTATCGTGCATATGAGAGGTGGGACTGCTTAAATTTAATATACATAGGTAATTAGATTTAGTTGAATTTGTGTTTTACCTTTTATTGTGAACTGCTTATGCCACTAATTTTTGCTTGTTGTAATAATTACGACTTTCTAAAATAAAGGTTGTCACTTGCTTACTAAAAATACTTTATAGCTGAGCACTATATCTTACAGATTTTTTTGATGATTCAGTAGGTGGCCAACCGTTCGCGGCGACCTTCCCGGAAGCGACAGCAGCCCCTACGGCAGCGAACCCGTTCGGTGGCGCCCCCTGGCCACCGAATCCTTTCAAAATGAACGGCGTTACGGCGCAGGCGCCGTCGCTGTTCCCCCAAATGGTCAATGGCTTTGGAGCGCCCGCGCCATCTGTTGGAGGAGTGGGAGGTGGAGCTTGGCCGCCACCAGCTAATCCATTCAAGGTAGTTATTTTATTCTAAATAAATGAGTAGCTATCAAAGGTGAAATTGAACTGATACTGGTTATGATAGCTAATTAAATTCAAAGCTCAATTCAAAGAATATGGTCATCGAGTATGAGAGGAGAACCAGAAATATCAATTAGATAAGGTTTATAAGATCAAGAGTGAGATGGCGGGACACCGCGGCTGCTATGAGGATCTTCAAGAAACTTTGTTAATTCGATTTAAGAACTGCCTAAGGTTATTAGAACTGGGAAAAGCCTCTTGTGCATTTTTCCACAATCTCGATACCCTAGGGACAAAGGAGCGGTCGTATCACAAGTTTGACACAGGATGGGAGGCCGAAGTCAGGCGGGTCTATCGGGCCGGCACATCGCGCGGCGGCGTCATGGAGAAGAGCTCTGAGGAGCAAGGCCTATTGGCATAGCGGTAGAAGAGAGTTAGATCGCTGACGGCCCGCTGTGCGAAAAGGTCCCGTGACTATCCATTAGAGAAAAGTCATCGACCGGTCGGACCCCAAACATATGAGCAATACTCGAAGCTAGGTCTTATCTGGGCGTTGTACAGAGTGAGGAGGTTATGTGGAGAAAAGTACTTTTTAGCCCTAAACAAATAGCTTAGCTTTTTCCCAGCAGCCGCCGCTATTGACGAGATGTGCTCGTGCCACATCAAGTCCTTGGCGATCTGGACTCCAACCAGCCGAAATAAACGGCTCTTTGATAGAACTTGCCCAGCCATCGAAACTGGATGAGCGATAAGGCTCTTTTTGTTCGTCAAGGTACAGTACTGTGCTTTAGAAGCAATATTGTTGCTCGCGATTTATGCACCTCTCCATCACCTTGCTTATACCAGAAAGCAAAGCTATAGGCATGTAGTTATAAGGGCCGATCTTAGATCCTGTTTTTTTTATGGGTTGGGCATGAGCAAATTTCCAGTTTTCTGGAAAGCTCCTGGATTCGTGAGATGTATGGAAGAGATGCAAAAGAACTGGATCAAGCTCCGCTGCACATCTCTTCAATACAAAGGATACTATAAAAGTTTTGCAATATGACCTAACAAACGGACGCAGGAGGCTGCATGTTACTGCATCTTGAGATATGTTCATGAGTGCTTAGTAGTCGCCAGCAGCACGTCTGTTGATTTAGTTGTTCATTCGAATTGACAGTGTAAAGTGCGGACTATGGTATCGTGGTCACGTAGTGAGATAAGGGCAGTTTTACGGTATAACTTTACGGGTGATTTAAGCATAGACCAGTGCTTAGAAGAAATGATGCTTGCATTAAAGAATGATTGTCCTCATCGCACGACTATATTCAGGTGGTACAGAGAACTCCAAAGGGGTAATTTCACTTTGGAAGACGCTGATAGGGAAGGAAGGCCGCGAACGTCAGTAAAAGAGGAAAACATCGCTGCTGTGAGGAAAATGCTTGACGAAGACACGAGAGTGATATACCAACAGATAGAGGAGACCTTACACCTTTATACACCAGCAATTCATTCAATGCTGCATGACCATTTACTCGTAAACCTTGTTCTCTCGGGGTACCCTATAGTCTGACGGAAGAGCAGAAGACTCGTCGTACGACTTGGTGTAGAAAGATGCTGAAAATGTTTGATAAGGGACAATCTCGGTATGTGAACAGCATCGTGTCAGGTGACGAGACTTGGCTCTATTATTACGATGTGCCGACCAAGACTCAAAACAAAGTTTGGGTCTTTGATCATGAGGACACACCCGTAGCTGTCAGAAAATCCCGATCTGTTAAGAGAAAAATGATAGTTGTATTTTTCAAATCCAGCGGGATTGTGGAGCGTGTCGTGTGGACACACAGAAGACAGTCACAGCTAAGTTGTACACGAAACAGTGCTTGCCTAGAGTCTAAAGTCAAGTATGGACGCTTGGTACCTCCATCACAACGTTCCAGCTCACCACGCCAATGCCTGCACCTAGTATTTGACCACTACTGGACTGAAACTTATTGAGCACCCTCCTTACAGTCCAGATCTTGCTCCCTGCGACTTTGCACTGCTTCCGCCGCATGTGAAAATGAAGCTAAAAGGAAAACGGTTTTCTAGCGATGAAGACCTTCTGAGGGCTTGGAACAACGAGTGTGCCGCATCAGAGCTGGTTTTGGCGGATGGAGAAGTGTATTGAGTGTGGTGGAAATTACTTTGAACGAAGCCAATAAATGAGGCTGTATTGCAAAACTTTTATAGTACCCTTTGTACAACGGCATGAATCGAGTCCGAACCAGAATTTTTTTGTTATTATCGTAAGTATTAATGGGATTTTAAGAGATACGAACTTGATCAATTTATTGTGAAGTTAAAATTAAGTTACCAAAAATCTAAACAGCAGTTTGAGAATGTAGTGGGATCGTGACCAGAAAGGAATTGAGAATTCTAAACGTCAAAGAACGGAAAACTCACGAGGTCTGTTTCTTCGAAACACGAGCACAGAACTAAGTACCTGCTGTTCCTTAATGATCCACTCGGATCAAGAGATCAGACAATCAGTGCTATCGCATTTAAAAGAGATACATTTAGTATAATCATATCAAGAAATGATTTTCTCTATATTTCGCGATGCGCTAATCTATCAAACACCTATCAATTCGACTCTACCAAAAAAAACCTCTTTCGGGTGTAGATTACTTGATTTTTTGAATCTCGATTGCAATTGAATATTTCATTTTATTACGAGTAATTTATCATATCAATACCTATATAATGAAACGAACATTAAAGTTCTACGAGCACCCGTTTTGATTATGTTTATCTTTATCTGCTTCCCTCATTCTCGGAATAAAATTTCGCTTCTAAAGCTATAAACTATTTGGGTTTTTTCGATTGTTCCGAAGATTACAAAATAGCTTGCATTATGTAAACAATTAACTATTTTCTTCGAAAATGCACAGATGTGTCTCGCCATGCTACAAGACCATTCATGTATTGAGGTCTTTCAATTTGTTGAATGGAAAATTTTAAAACAGACATAGTTCTTTTCACGATTTCTTGCGGTTACATCACAATCTCATACGAAATAAGTAAACAGATTGACTAATGGTACCATGTGAATAGCTTAACTTCCTTAGGGGAAATTATACACTGCTCAAGCTGGTCCGTAATCCAACTGCTGTTCGCTCTTGCACACACACATATGAATTGGGGATAGAGGGCCGTTGTTTCCACTCACTTCCTGAAAATACGTTTATAAATTAAATTCATACTGTCGACACTGTAGTTGTGTCCTCAGGCATTACAATATCACGCTCATGACAAGCACATTAGCATACTGACAAGCATAAAGGAAGTGCGTTGACGAGCAAATGTTGAAGGTGGTGAGACAGAACTAAAATATCTACAAGGTAAGTCGCAAAGTAAACAGGACAAACAAAGAATGAACAAACATTTTTTGTTTCGGAAAATCGAATTTATTTTATAGTCTCCTTCAGAATTAATACAACGATTTTCACAGACCAAAAGATTTTCGAATGATGATTTCAGCTCATTGACCGGGATGTCCTTCAACATGATCATCGACGCCTTTTGGATGGCCTCTACGTCGGCATACCGCTGTCCCTTCTTGGCCAAACGTAGTTTACCGCACAGAAAATAGTCACACAGTGCCATATCAGTAGAATATGGGGAGTGATTGATGGTTGAAATGCTGTTTTTTTTTGTCAAAAAATCGGACACAAGCGTCGATCTATGAGATGGTGCGTTGTCGTTCAACCAGTGTCAGCTTCCTTTTTCGCGATATTCTGGCCGAATACGACAAATACGCGACAGCAAACGCCTCAGTCACAATATTGTACAAAAAGTTTTTTCTTTTTGGCCCCTTTAATGATGTTTCCAAATGTTGAATTCGAAGCAATTTTTGCACATCCGTGAGCTTGTGCGGAACAAACCGTGAACACACCTTTCTCATGCCCAAATTCTTGGTCGAAATGCGATGGATTGAATCTTAGAGATATTTAGTCCCATTTCTATGTATCTCAATGAATATTTTGGATCATTTTTGATAAATTCACGCACTTCTTCGACGGTTTCTGGCGTAATCACAAATTTTGGCTGGCCAACATGTTCGTCGTCTTCCAGCGACTCACGACCTCTTTGAACCGTGTAAAGCTTCGGCTACGAGATAAACAATCAGTACCATACACTTGCATTAACATCTGATGCGTTTCGGTAATGTTTTACCAAGTTTAACACTTAATATTGGTTCTTTGTTCGATACTCATTTCTCGACCGATGCTAAAAAGGTAGTCACTTAGAGTCCTGTTTACTTTGCGACAGACCTTGCAAGTCTTTCACTTAACACATACATTGATGCATAATGTATGTGTGACGAAGATGAATGTATGATCCACCAAAATCCGTGAAAAGACCTATATCGTCGGCCTCCGCACGTACCAGCGTAACTAATATTTTACAAATTTTACAGGAGAGCTAGAAAACGAAAATCAGCAATAAATGAGATTGAAAGTGACATACTGATTTTTCAGTCTGAACGTTGCTGTTTCTTTTTGTTAGACTAAATTGATGTAGAACCAATTTTAACGCAGAGGCGTAAATCTATTTAAGCCTGTACGTGAAAATTGTTTTCGGAATTTTATAACTTTTCTGAGAATTTTAATTCTTAGCAGCGAACTGATATACAGCTACGTCACTTCGTGAAGTAAGATACTACAAAAAAATCTGTGAAATTGCGGCGTAACTCGATTTTAGATTATTTGTCATTTACGCCTGTACGTACGGAGACCGACGATATGGAAGGTGTTTCAGAAGTCGACGACAAGCCGGAAACGGAGGATAGGCTAAGTCATAATAGTTATCAGAACAATATAAAAAAGTCGTCAGATTATATGCTTAAAAAAATCAGAAAAATCTACACCCTGTGATGAACTTTTAGTTTCTATTACTAAAAAATTCATTTTTTTTTGACGGAGTGACGGACTGTGGCATTCCACGTAGTGATAGCAAGACAGATAGCAACGCCACCTTTATTAATTCATGATTGTGTAGTGTCACCATGTCTGTGTACAACGTACAGGAATACGCCAACATATACTTCATTTATTGAGAATGCAGATGCAATACTAGTGCTGCCTGTAGGTTTTATCGTGAAAAGTACCCAAATGCTGCTCGTTATCCGGATCACCGAGTTTTTGTGAATGCGCACCCTTAACTCTCAGAGGGACGATTCGAAAATCAAGCATATGGTGAAAGAAGAATTTCCTTTCCTTATGAGGACGTCACACTACAAACAGTCGAAGAAGACCCTAGTACTTCAGTTCGACAAATAGAAGCAAACACAGGAGTGCCCAAAAGTGCTGTCCACCAAAAGAACGAGCTCAACCCCTACCACGCACAGCGAGTACAATTTCTACAACCCCGGGATTATCTTCCAAGAGTTGAGTTTTTACAAACAATGTTATAGAGATACATGGCAGATCCGCGATTGTTAGAGAACATTTTATGTACTGATGAGTTACATGAATCTCCACAACTTACATGAGTGGCATGTACAGAATCCACACTTCATGAGACAAGATAGATCACAGTATCGTTTTAAACATGATGTGGGCCAGGATTCTAAATGGGAGAATCATTGTACTCTTTGAGCTGTCAGAGTTCTTGAATGGTGAAATTCATTTAGACTTTTTCCAAAATGATTTACCAAATTTATTGGAAGGCGTTCCACTAAGCATTTACAGAGACTTGTCGTACCAGCATGACCTAAATTCATTCGATTTTTTTTACTGAGGAGCGGTGAAAGAAAAAGTTTACCAATCGATAATTAAGCTGAGCTACGGGACAGAATAACTGAAGCAGCTGAATTTGTTAATAACGGAATATTCGCCCGTCTGATAACTCGATCATTTTTAAGATGTCAAGCTTGCATTGTTGCTGAAAGAAGGCAGTTTAAACATGTATTGTGAATTTAATTAATACATTCGCGAATTAATAAAAGGGGCGTTACTATCTGCCTTGCTGTTACTACGAATGACACTGTCCGTCATTCCGCCTAAGAATAAATTGAAATTCGTAGCAATGGGAACTAAAAGATCATGATAGGGTGTAGATTTTTTCAATTTATCCGATTTTTTTAAAGCCTATTATTTGAAAAGTACGACTTTAATTTTTTTATATTTTTCTGTTAACTATTATGACTTGGCCTATTCCCCATATCCGGCTTTACGTCGACTTCTGGGACACCGCGTTTATGAATGCATGGGAAATACTGAGTCTATCTACGTTACACTTTTTTTGTTTTCAGGTTGGCTGCGTCAGAGCAAACTCGAATAACCCCTTCTTATGAGGTTGTCTTCAGATGGTACTACATCTAATCCGACCCATATATTCCCGAATAGTATTTTTAACATTCTTAATCTCAGCCTGTCAAATATATCTTACTATCCCCGTTTAACTTTTATGTGTAGATTTTAACCAGTTACTATTTATCAACAAGCTATCATTGAAAACCCTTCATAGTTTGAATAGATTTTAGGATTGGAATCAGCGAACAAAAATCACTTGCTTTTAATCGTTACATATTATATTAAAAAATACTTTGATAAACACGAAAATGTTGAGCATCAGTCGAAAATATATATGTTTTTAGAATTAGATCAACATGCGTTGATGGAAAAGATTAGAAATGAGGGTTCCAGAAAGTTTGAGTATTTTTTAGGTTACCAAAATCTTTTTGAAGCAGGCTGAATTAACCCCTAACTGGTGAGGTGACTTTATTGTAACGTGACGTTGGGTTACAGATACCCAGTCTTTACCATGCACAACAGAGTTGGAAAAAATGAAACATTTCATTGAAAATCGAGAAAGTTGCTTATATTTATACTTCTGAAATATTTTCATTACAAAAAGAAATATAATCGAAGAAAATATAGTAAATGCACACAGAAAATGACAAATTAACATTTACTTCTGTAATCAAACATTTTGATATTTTTTTTATGAATTTTACTAAAAAAATACTACAATGCAGTTTCCGCAAATTTTCACCTTGCACGTGTTGCTGATTTTCTTTGTCTTTCTTCTGTCAGAGCCAGGTGGGCACTTCCTGCATCTTACTTGTTTGTCCAACTCCTGTCTGGTTTCTTGTGGAAGTGGTTTTTGCAATATTTTAGTGATGCTGAGTCATAGTTCTCGAGGCAAGCGTGTGTTTAGACAAGTTCTCTGGCAAGTAGTTTGATGTACTAGAGCCTGGATACCTTTGTGTTACCAGGACATCAGGAATACATAATGTAAGAATTCACCATGCTGACGTTAATCAATGTGTAGAATATCGCTAACGGCCATCGTCTGGTGTGGCGACTTGTAGAATAGAATGTACACTTCTCATCTAATGCATCGACCCCACCTTTCGTGCTGTTGTAAAAAGCAATGATTTCAGGCTTTTGGGTTTCCAAATCGGTTGCTCGAGTATGGTGCATTGAAGAAACAAGAAGAACAGCCTTACCGTTAGTGTTATGTCATTGGTAAAGCCGTAAAGGATATCTCCTACTTCTCTTTGTTTCGCAGGTAGACACTCTTTTGGAATGTCTCTTTTATTTTTACGCAGAGTTCCTACGTAAGTCAAGCCTCGTTTTCTTAGTTCCTGAACAAGATCTATAGAGGAAAACCAATTATCCGCCGTAATGTCCCGGTTAGAGCCGACAATCGGTTCAGTTAGTTGCAGTACCGCCTGTTGGAAAGCTTCCGCTCGTCAACGGTAAGTGTCCTGCCAACACTGTCCTTTCCGGAATACATGTACGCATTTAATAAATAGTGTGTTTTTGTGTCTGATAGTGCCATTATTTTAACTCCATATTTTTTGGCTTATTTGGAACATACATTTTTAAACGGCATCGACCTCGAAATCCAACTAGCATCTCGTCAACACAAGCATACTCTCCAATTGAGTAGCAATTACGGCAGTTTTCCAGAAATTTTTTGAATACCCATGATATGGCAGCCGTTGCGTCAGATTTTTTTCTCCTCTCTATCTAATGCATCATCAAAACGTAGGCTTAGTAGTAAAACATATACCCTTTTTAGTGACATCGTACACCGGAAAATATCTCAGCCAGTCCCATCAGTGGTAAGATCTTCATGATTTGATTTGAAGATGGGCGTGAACATAAGGATTTGAACTCAATCAAGTCAGTGTCTCTATAGTCAGTACGACTATTATCAGACAAAGTTTCTCTAATCATCGCCAATTTTTCATTGGTGCGTCGTCTTATTTCGTTTAAAATTTCCTCACTAAACAGAAGTTCCCATGGAGACTGGGGCCTACAAAATGAACCAAATACTTTTGCTGGACCAATTCTTCCTGGAAGATGGCTGATAATATTGTGTCTTCTTGTACGAATATTTGAAGTGGGTACTTCTTTAGACCATACGAAGCCATTTTTGCCATGATATTTGGATTGCTTTCGTAGACGTCTTTGCTTTTTTGCAAGAGGCTCGTTATCAGAAGAATCTGAGCCACCAGTTTCGATGGGTGGTGGTGATACTACTGATGAAGGGCGACTTGAAGGACCAGGAACATAACTAACTTCGACCTCACTGTCAGAAGCTTCTTCTTCTGATGGTTACTTTGAAAAGCTTGGTTTGTTATGTCTCTTTCATCGCCACGGCGTTTACTCTCAGCTCATCTAACACAGCTGTGGCCGGCAGGCGGTATACTGACTTGAAGGTACCTGCAACACAGCGTTGCCAGATTCGTCGCAGGGGGGGGGGTCTCTTTTGTTTTCCACTCTTTCTTATAAGCTTGCTGTCTATGTTTGGCTTTCTTCAAAGATTCCACTCCTTTTTTTTCTGTATTCGATAGTATCCCTTCTTTTGTTGTGCTTCTCTCTTCCAGAGCAACTTGATTCGGAATCCAACATAATATGTAATATAATATTATTATCGTTATAGGATTGAAACCGGTTAAATATCGAAAATAACTGAAAACGGTCTTTTGATTTTTAAGTTTCAAAAGTCATACAAACGGGAGACGTCACATTCATGTCATCTAATGCAGATGGGTAAATAAAAATATGTGCGTCATGTCAATACATAGAACGTGAGAACTGATTGACGGCATTTTTCCCCGTTGATGTTTGCCGAGATGGTCCGCGTAATGCTAGGCAACCCATTATTCAGAGTGGGGTACGCGCGCTTGTCTACCAAGCGGCAACACTAACAGCTGCTTGCTGGTGTTAATTGTTTGTTAGATTGATTCGACATCTGTGAGTAAAAAAGCTCATTCGCAAAATTATCGTACATTCAGCTATTATCCTACACCTAGTATCGTACATCGTACAGTACTTGAAATTATCGTACAGAAACGATAAATATCGTACGTCTGGCAACGGTGCTGCAACAGCAGCGCCCTCGGTGTCAGCATATGTTGCCAGTGGCGTACTAAAACTTTGCCTGGGTATCTCACACCCAACCTCACTAGTTACGCGTTGAATTCAAATGTTTGAGACAAAATTAAAGTTTGATACTAATATTTTTATTTTGTGCCCATAGTTATGCAATTTCAAAAAACAATTACATTTTGAATTCACCTTTCTTACAAATTTTTCATTATAGTTCGTGACATTTGATCCTAATATAGCGTTTGTTTGTTTGTAGTATTATTTTTATAACATACTTTTAGGTATTGCGTATAGTTTCGCCATTTTTTGTAGGCTAATACAGTAATATTACATATTACAATGTGATCAACAAATTATACCTATACTCGCGAAGAAATGTGATGGTAGAAGGTTTTTAAATGATTGCTTGTTGCTTGCAAAATATTGTGAGATCGCAGGCAATTAAAATCCTTTTCTAGGCGTATTAAATCGTTGTTAAGTCATCCAGGTATCCTGGGATCTGAGGGAAAATATTGTTTCTGATTTTTTGCATAATCCATATTAAATTTACGTTTTTTTTTATTATTTTTCGTGGTCGAAAATGGTATGCTTAGCGCATTTTCAAATATAAAATCGCTTATACTTCGAAAATAATTTACTTTAGAGAAAAGTTTTAAAGCAACTTTTTTGCCCAGAATTTAAAAACGGGAACGAAAACACCAATTTTTGCAGTTTGTTTCAAACTTACTTCAAAGATTCTTGGACGCAAATTTAGGCCTGGCAACACACAGATCCGTTAAAAGGCTTCATGAATAAAATTATAACTAAAACTCGACTCAGAATATTTGCTGAGGTTCTTAAATACGAGGGCGAGGTGGAAAGTTCTCGGCCTGTCATTGAAAGACCGCGATTCTCAGTTAAAACATATTTTTTCACATTATCCCCTTAAACTCCAACACAGTTAGTTAATTAGTTCCAATGTTTCTTCAGCATTAAGATTTCTTTTCTAAAATGGAAATCTGGAAGGTTGCCAAAATACTGATCCAAAATTAGTCTACCGTCTACAGCCCCAGCTGCCAACCAACTTTCAGTTACTAAGTTGAGGTACTGTTGCGCGTTGTAGAACTGTAGATTTCACTGTAACTTGAAACTGATGATAGATGACAGTTGCCTGGATCATCTTAACCAAGACATGTGTGGACCACGAACTTCTTTCCAAAATACTGCATTGTCGGCCACAAAATATATCTACTGAAGAAGGTACAGTCCCCCGTGCTATCGACAGGGCAACACGGTTGACTTATGTGAGTGTCATGGCGCTATTTTTTTCTGGATGCAACATGGTTGCCAGGTTGTGCACGAACGCCACACGCGGCATTGCCAGCTCTTTGCATAAATCTGAGGCTGTTGTGTAATTTTATAGTGCGCATTTCTAATAATTGTATATGGAAGATTTTATAACGCCATGTGTTTTAGCATATCTTGGCTATTTGACAAACAAGTACTCACTTATTCGTTAAAGCATCAGTGTCAATAACACAGGCCATTATGAAATCATCCATATATCCTACAGTTAGTCGAAATTTTGAGAACAGTAAAAAAATTATACCTACTTAATAATATATTTTATTTAAATTTTATATTGTATGAACATATCAATAATATTTATGGTCGATATATTTTCATTTCTGGTGATGGTCTTCTGTAGCACCTGCATGTGGAATCTCTATAAACAGGGCATTTCCTAATTATGGAACGAAACTTCAGAGAGGGATTCCTTAGGTTGTTTTAAGAAAATAATTTCCTCCGAACATATATCTGGAGTTTGTTCGTTTCTGAGATACATGGTGTTGCGGTTAAGAGAAAAAAAAAACGATATTTATAAAATATAAGTACCCCAATATGCTTGAAATTTGGTGCAATAATTTGAAGAAATACGCTGCTTATTTAGATTGGAGTTATTAGGTCCAATGGCGTCTCAGTGGGCAGCACAGCGAAAATACCACGCCAATTACTTTTTTGTAGTTTTTATATCTACTTAGATAATGCTACTAAAAATAAAACTTTTTGTTCTCTTGCATTTTCTTCATATCTAGCTTTGTTTTCGAGAAAGAAAATATAAAAATCGCTTTAACTCATTCTAAAAGTTATCCATGGATAACATAACATAAAAACAGAAAATAAAAAACTATTTCGACCTTATTACTTCAAATAGTTGCACCAAATATCAATCAAATCGGTTTGAGGGTACTTATGGTATTTTATAAATACGGTTTTTTAACTTTCAAAAACGAATGACCCTCTGAACTTTCGTACCTCACTTAGAAAACACATTGTATAATTTCTTGTCAATCTTCGTCTAATTTAACTGCACTAAAAGTTTGTCTGCGATCTTGCTTTTAACCACAACAATATTGTTTTTAGCAGCGTACGTAATTTATTAATTTATATAGATCAGTGTATTTATTCGTTTTGGTTTGCACCTGACATTATGCCAAAAATGCTTTCATGTTATGTATAACTTAGACGATAGTTATTAGGGCTTAGGTATATACATTTAGTTTTTTATACGCTTACGCGGAACTAAGTAACAACACGAATTTTCTGCCTTGAATCTGACCTAGAAGCGGTGATGTAGTTTTTGTAGATTATGGTTTTGTTGCGCTAAAAAACTAACGATATTCCGAAATTGGTTGACAAAAAACGAAAAAACATAAACTTGCCGGTTAAAAGCCGTCCAAAAATATCAACCATACTTTTTTTGATGAGGGAAAAACAATTTGACTCGTAGGAGAGTCAGTTTCGAGTGTGTGCCTTGCCGATCATTTTACTTTTCAATGTCTGCTAGGCCTATGAAAGTTGCGTGCTCACCAAAGAATTGAAATGAACAGATTGTTTTCAAATCCTTAGTGAGTTGTGCACTGTGATTCCTTCATACACAAAAAATTACGAGTGATTAAACTTTTCGGCTGTATGTTTTTTAGGAAAATTGAACGATCTTTAGTTTTTTGTTGTGCAGCATTTGATTTTTTTCATTTAGCGAAGTGGCCTTGGAGACTGTTTTCTTTATATTGTATTGTATCGATTTTACTGTTTTTCATTTTGCACATGTTTTGAAGGCATTGATTGTTATGAAATTGAAATTTGCAACGGGTGCAGTTTATTTGAGAGTAGTGTTTTTGTAAGAGGGCTCAAAAACAAAACAAATAATTGAAATAACTGGCAAGTGCGGAATATGTAATCGTACTTCCACTCGAAGCCTCCTTATTTTTAGTACGCAGCATTCTCCGAAATAGTATTGACACTTAACGGTGACAGGAGAGTTGTCAAACATCTTTTAATCTGTGCGAATCAAATCCACATACAGTGGGTCAAACAAGTATTGGCACACCCTATTTTGTCTTGAATTTCATTAACGAAAAGCTAAATTTATTGATATTAAGTGCATTTGACAACTAAGAGGTTTGAAGGCAACAGATTGAGAAAATTAAAAATAATATACCTAAGAATAATAATCATAGGATTTATTTATGAATTTCATTTTACATTGATCTTACTTTAGTCTTCAAGATGTCCGCTCTGAGAGCCATCTACCGGTCGTCTATTAAACGTGAACTATGATCTCTAACAATTCCAACTAATAGCAGCTATGTGCTTTCCGTAGTGGTCGATTCTGGTGTGATAGATGGCGCTTTGCGCTGTCTTATTTCGATAGACCGTATCTCCGGTATAGAGGATAGTTGCGATGCTTCTGTTCGTTTGTCCTGAGACATCATGTTCAGTTTGAACTTGAACTGTAGTGCTGAAAAAATCCATTTACCTTCCAACCGGATCTTATGCACACCATCTAGGGATGGCAAAATTTTTCAATATACCGGTATTTGGTATTAAATGATATACCGTTAGGGAAAACCGGTTATTCGGTATATTGGAAAAATTACTGGTATATACATAAACATAACATATCTATGGTGCGTGGGTAAACAAATATAAGTCAAAAAAGCACAAGCTGAGAAAATCGCTATTTTTGTTTTACAGTCAGTAATTTTTACCTTGTTTTGCTTATTGCTTTGATAATGTAAACAAAATATTTTGTCTGCGTCTTTATTTAATAACAATATCTCTGACTATTACAAGTTCTGCTTCAAAAAATGCAATATACCTAAAAATATAAACGGCTTGGCGGTTCATATAAACTGTGATTTAGGAAGATTAATTTTTCCAGGCTCTCTCGTATATCTGAACCAGCGAGCATCATGCCACTTAAACGGATTGCCCATTGAATCCTTTTTTCTGAGGACAAGAGAATTTCTATAAAGGTCAGAGAAGCTTAAAAACATGTCATGAGTTAATTCTTTAACCAGAAATTTACGTCGTCTCCCGACAGTCCTTACAAGCTGGTACCAGTCATGAGGATGATTAATTTTAAGCTCAAATTTTTTTTTTGTTTCTCTATGAGGGTATGGTCAACATCACATTCCATATGACTGTGACCCCTAATCATAAATTTGTGATCAATGGTTTCTAAGCATGCATTTAGTTGCATGACAGTTAAAAACATTGCAGCTACATGTGAGTTCTTGTTTTGCCCACCACATGTGTCTGAATACAGAATAACCCTGTTTATATTGGGAGGTAGGTTTATCAATTCTAAAAACAAACAAGTTCCGATTTGATTACCACCGCGGCCACCTTCCGCTTCATGCCACATGAAGCAAGTTACCTCACCATTCCCGAGATCATGCATGGTTAAGTTGTAAGTCCACAATTGCCTTTTGTAGAATGATACAGATGATGTCAAAAAAGGAGTTTGAAGGCACTGCTGGAGATCAAACGTGTAGCATTTTGTACTTGTGTTTTGCTTAGCGAATTTTTTATCCTCATCCTTTTTTAGATATGCATCATCTGCTTCTGCGTGGTCGAGGTCAATTTCTTTTTTTATGCTTTCTTTTTCTGACTCCTGAGCAATATCAAGCTTCATTTGCAGCACGTCACATTTATGGCACGTATCAACTTTAGGCTTCTTAAATGATAACGTCAGCTTATGGAACTGAGCCTCATAAATACGTCGAGAAACTACTACTTTGCGATTTTCCAAGTACAACTCGTACATCTTTTTCAGTGTCAAATGAGGAGCCAGATATCTTTTGTCATTTACCCTCCGAGTGTAGTGGGATTCATATGAAGGAAATGAATTTATGAGCTGAATCACTTGATCTAATACCTCTGCATCAAATTTGTTGGCAGGTTCATGGCAACCGCGTTTATCGTTACGAACTATCCCAGAAACTGACTTACTAGAATTTCGTAACGCCAGTGTAACAAACATTTGTGTTTCACCTAAGGTTTTCATGAAACATCTCCGACAGACTTTAGTCTTCTGACCATTAATTTTAAAGTAAAAGGTGTGGCTTATTTCCCTGTTTCTGGATTTTTCTGGATTATCTGTCCTCTGTCTTTTTACTGCAGTTTTCGTGGTCTCCGAGTGGTTTGCAATATAAGTAACTCGTTTGTCTCTGTTTCCAAGAGCCCAGTACTCTTGAAATATAATTGATCTTGTAGTCTCTGTTATTTTATCTCGACATTTTAATCGACACATTGGTAAAGGTATCATCTTACGTTGTTTTACTTCTTTCCCTTTTGCTGTAATGTATTTTCTCCCTGTATTTCGACATTCTTTCCGCTCATTCCGTTTTTTCCGGGAATTAGGTCCGTCTTTCAACCTCATTTTTGTATTTACTGCAGCAGCATCTGTGTTTTCAAGGATATCTTATTTATTTGCCCACAACCTTTTTTTGACCAAAGCTAATGAAACTTCATCATCGCTACTACAAACATTTGATGACAACTCATCTTCCGGATCATAGTTTTTATCCTTCACACTGTCATCATCGTCTAAATCCTAAATGTAGAACTGCGTCCTCCAGTTGCGTTTTTCCAACTCCGGTCTCATTTGATGAAACTGTCTGATTCACAGTCTCCACGAGCATTTCATCTGGAAATACATAGTGAAAAAACAGATGAAGTAATCTAAAGAATTCTAAATATCGAAAACATTCAAAAATGAGATTTGGGTCGTTAAAAAAAACTTGAGTCATCTAAGAAATGTTCCGAATACATTCTTAAATTTTCTGGAACATGAAAAACAAACAAAAATCATTTTGGGAATGATCTAGTATTTTTGTATTGTTTTTAAAAAACTACCGACTACGACTCCATAGCACATAGTTACCAAGATCGAACGCAAAGAAAAATGCCAACAGACAAATTGACTGACAGACAAACAGACTGGCAAACAACCCGTCCGAAAGATATGGTTTCACATGATATACAGGTCATACAACTTCGCCTGCGCGTGCGAAGTACAAATTAACGTATTATCAAAAAACGTACCTCTATTGTCTATTCTGACATCCTCTAAATCGTCTGCAGCAAACACAGCATCAGCAAATATGTCATTTATGGAAGCTGTTCTTTCCACGGGTTCGAAGACTTCAAGTGGCGACAGCCCTACCAATGTTTAATGTTTAACAACTTTATTGCCAATTTATAAAATAATAACTTTTGGTTCTCTCTGATGCCATGGTATTGGTTATCACAGAGACTTGAATAAAATGCAACACGTTGGTGACATAACCTCAAAATTCAACACGTGGTGAACGACGCGCAACAATATTATCGATGTAAGCGTGTAAAACAGTATAAGTCTACTTGTACTGTTTCGCTCACGATATTTCAAGCCTTCTTTGGTGGTGCCACCTATTACAAGTATACTTATGCTGATGTTCCCACCAGAAATAGAAGTTTTTGAGAATTATACTATATAGTGCATGTTTAATAACAGCATTAATATGAAGTATTTACTTATACCATTTAGACCAGCCTATAGACACCGTTTTATTACGTATACTGACGACTTGAACTCATTTTCGCAAAATCTTGACTTATACTATTTTACCCTCGCACCATAGATATATTATAACAAAACCTGTGGTGTAGCATTCAAAAAGGATATACTAAAATATAAAATATATGAAGTGGCTTTACAAAAAAGCAAATATAAAAGATATCACTTCCAGCAAAAAAAAAGACTAAAATAAACAATAAACGCAAGTCAATAAAACTATAGCCTTGATCCTAAAACCTAAAACTCATCAGATACCGAATTGAGGAACAACAGCTTTGATAATCTTTTTCCAGTTAACCTATTTCTTTCTTTTGTCGCAGTTGCGCTTGCCTTCGAAAATAGTCGTTCGCATGGTACTGATGTCGCCACAATGGAAAGATACTTTTGAGCCTCAACGTATAGTTTGGAATATATTGCTCTCGTATCTTTCCATATTTTAAGGGGGTCTTCCCGTAAATCGCTTACCGGGATTTTTAGATAGTGGGCTAGTTCGCCCCCTTGTGACGAATCTGTCGTGCTGCGTTTTGCTGCAGCAATCGCTTTATGGTGTTCCCATAGATCAGAGGACTCGATATCACTCTCTTCATTTGTAGCTTTAACTACCTGTTCCACATTACATTCAATTTAATTTTTTAAATGATTTATTGTGCAGGCTAGAGCATTTGGATCTTTGAAATGCAGCTGCTTGAATCTGGGATCCAGAAGGGTAGCTGTTGCTAATAAGAATGATTTTTCGATTTGTCCAAACCGTTTTTGAAATTCATTAATAATATTTGTTTTTAAAATTTTGGTTACATTGTATGAAGGTTTTGATTGTTTATATTTTACTTTTTTTTTGTTTAGAGAGAAGGAAATGTACCTACCGCACGCAACGGCGCATTGCCGGCTGGGCAACTCGACAATGCATCGCTACAGTGTGAGGCTCTCACTCACTAAAACCTCGTCTTTTTCCTAGACCGTGTTCCATCTACGGTACTACCTTGCGGCTTTATCCATCATAGATTGTGCCGCCTTTATTGTGGCTTCAGCTACAATCGATTCTGCTTATTCCATTTTAGCCATCTATGGAAGTTGTGATAGTGTCCTATTCTCCCCTTCCATGTGTTTCTTTCTGTTTCTTTATGTTAGTAATGAAAGACTCAATGAGATTCCAGTTTTTATCTGATTTGAGCAATAGTGGCACCATGGTATTTGCTGCTATCGCTGAGTTAACAGTCTGCGCAAGAGTTCGTCTCTGCTGTGCCCATTTTTCGCATACGAAGAGCGTATGGTTTGCGTCATCCACAGAAGCATCGCAGTATCTACACCCTTCGTCTTCGTGCAGTCTAAATCTTTTCAGGTAAGCGTTAAAGCAGCCGTGCCCCGATAACGCTTGCGCCAAGTAAAAACCGACCTCTCCGTGGCTCCTCTCGACCCACTTGGTAATTTTTGGTATTAGTTTGTACGTCCACCTGCCGACAGAGTCCTCGCGCCATCGCCTCTGCCAGTTCTCCATCAGTAAGTATCTTGCCGCATTCCGAATCGTCTCCTTGGAGTGTGCATCTTCCCGGATAGGTCGTGTTGCTTCCAACTCTTTTTTACGATTGTAGACATATTCCCTTTCCTGTGCTAAAAGATCTATAGGGGGAACTCCCGCAAGGACTAAGACCGCACTTGTTGATACTGTCCTGTACGCTAATATGATCCTAAGTACCGCGCGATTATATTTTACTAGTGAACAGCTTAGCATCGGTATTACTTTACTCAAAGTAATTTACTTCTCCCCACAAGCTTCTGTTGTGAGTTGGATGAACGGCTTCAACAAAACCACCACTTCCTTCAAAATTTCTATTTCTGTACTTGTCAGCATTTCAGGTGCATTTACATTACCGAATGTAATATTTACAATAAAAGGTGCTAACTCTATAAACCTTGTACACATGTGATATGTTGAATTCCACCTTGTCTTTACGTCCAGAAGAAGTTTTTTTATATTTCGCTCTAGGATCCCTTGCTGTGTTTGTTGTCTTCTAAGTGCGTCACTATTAATACCACTTCTCTTGAACCACGTTACCACTGCCCTAACTTTAGTTATTATTTCAGATAGGATGTCTGTATTTGAAATAGATTTTTTACATACTAAGTTCCGAGTATGTGCAAAACAAGGGATATGTTTGTTTTTTCCGAATGTATCATAAATAGCCTTAACAATATTTTGTCCGTTATCAGTCACTACTGCTACAACATTATTAATGTCAATTTTCCATTGCTCTAGCACTTCCTTTATTTTCAAAGAAATTTAGTCTGCTGTATGCCCCATTTTGAATCCGAAAGAAAATGAACAGTAACGCCCAAAAAACTTTTCATCTGAAAATTACTCCAAATATCATTGGTAATAGTGATCTGATTTACTGATTCAAATGTCGCTTTATACAAGTCGGAGATTACCTCATATTTTTGGTCTATAATATTTTTAAATGTATTTCTTGTCGGGAGTTTGTATAATGGTACTACATATTTCATTAGTTTACGGAATCCATGTCCATCTACAATAGAAAATGCCATATTGACACTAATTATAAAGTTGGCTACAGCTTCACTTACTTATCACCACCTGATGAGTATGCTCCCACTGTTTTCATGCTCTCGATGATTGTTGGCTGTCTAGACTCTGTAGGAGGCAGTAATGGTGAATTCAATTCAATGTGTGCTTCATCATCTGTGGGCACTGCAACAGAACTGCTTGTGCTCTGCAAGATATAATATATTATTATTACTATTATATCAATTGCTTTTTCTGTAGTCATTTGTGTATTAAGAGCGCACAGTGGTAATTTCAACTTTGCCGTTAGATACACATTTTATTAAAGAAAAATATGGAATGATATTTATTTGTCCAGACTCTCTTGTATATTTCTTTCCCCCGTATATGAAATTCAAAAAACCGCTGAGACGTGCTGAGCATGCGCACAAATAACATTTCATAGGAAGACGGAAATGGACAGAATGACGGCAACCATGTTGCGCGGTTGCGCCATATTGCACGGATTCAGAAATAAGTGACAGCCCTGTACAGAAAGTTCAGTCCCTTATATACCCCCTTGACGACGATGTATCAATGTCGCTCTTGTTTCGGACATCCATTTCTATAGTGCGAATAACATTTTTATGTTTGTGTTTCAAATAGGGATGCGCATCGTAAGAAAAACATCGATGTCAAACATCGACAGAGAACATCGATGTCACAAAAAAATCGGAATGAAAACATCGATGTTTTCTTAAAATATCGATGTTTTAGCATATTATATTAACATAGTTGTTTCCACAGTAAATTGCATTGATATATTCACTGAATACAGGAACCTAACGCTTACGAAATATTAAAAAGTCTCATATTTAATATGTATATTACGTAAAAAAGTTTGATTTAAAGTATCATTTAAAATTTTAAAATATTCTTGTTTTAAATACGAAATAACACCAAATAGATACATTCACTGAATACACTAATACAGGAATCAAACACTTACGGAATATTAAAAATTCTCATATTTAACATATTACGTAGAATAAAAAGTGTTATTTTAAAATATCATTTATAATGTTCTTGTTTTAAACTTTAAACACAAAATAACAGCAAATGAACTAAAAGTATTAAACATTTTCAAAACATAAACACAGTTAATAATAAGAGTAGCTTGAAATTTGAAAACATTTCAAAATATTAAGCTAACAGTTTTCCTATACTATAAAATTAACCCAAACTTTGACGAAGAAGTAATTTAGACAGTTGTTCTCCTTGTAACCGATTTCGCTGCTGAGTCAACGTTTGTCCTTCTTTAGAAAATATTCGTTCTGATGGTACTGATGTAGCTACAAGAGCTAAAAATTTTCTTGCCAGCTTTGACAGGACTGGGTATATCGATGCTAGATGTTCCCATATTTCTAAGGGATTTTTCGAAAATTCGAATATGGGTATTTTTACATATAGAGAAACTTCATCTTGAAGAGTATCATGAGTGTTTATGGTGTCTTGTGATTTTTGCAACATAGTATGATGCAAGGACCAGATCGAAAATATTTCTTTATTACTTGAAGTACTAGGCTCTGGCTCAGTCACTACAGGAGATTTTTCTTTTGTATTTAATCCTTTTTCCACCAATGTTTTAATATGTTGTATTGCCTTCGCACAAGCCAGATGATCTTTAAAATGTATCTTTTTGAATCTTTGATCCAATAAAGTGCTAATTGCCAGGACATATACATTTTCGATTTTTCCAAATCGCTTCTGGCATTCAGTGAGGATATAATTTTTTAACAAAGTAGGCACCGCATCATCCGTTTTTGTCGATGAAATTTTGTCGACTAAACAATGAACCATGGGAATAACGGAGCTAGCTGTTACATATTTCTCCCCAGAAATCTCCTTTGTCGCTACTTCCAATGGCCTCAACATGTTCATTATTTCTTTCAGTTGCACAATTTCCAAACCACTGACCATTGCCGGTGCAGTAGTATGATGAATTATTATTTCATTGATTGTTGTGTGAAGTTCGGTGAATCTCTCAATCATGTAAAATTTTGAGTTCCACCTCGTGGGACAATCTTGGATTAACTTGGTTTCCATTTCCGTGGCTTTCCTCAATTCATCGTTTGCCGCTACACTGTGCTTAAACCACGTAACGGTTTTTTTACCTTTTCCAGAGTAGGTACTAATTCGGGAACTGCTTGGATTGCCTTTTCGGCGACTAGATTCAATGTGTGCGGAAAGCACGGCAAATGTTTGTTTTTCCCCAAATGCTGTGTCGACTGCTGAAACCATGTTTGCACCGTTATCCGCTACAACAGCAGTAACTTTGTCTTTATTAATGCCCCATGAATGAAGGGTTTTCAATAATATATCCGCTAAATAAGTTCCCGTATGTCTTTCATCTAATTGTTCTACTCCTAAAGTGGCATATTTCATTTTGTAGTTCTCTGAAAAGTGAACAGTTATCCCTAAAAAACTCCTGGCTTGCATAGTATCCATCCAAACATCGTGTTTGTGTATAGTGGACTGTATTTTTATTGATTACATTTATGTTTTTGTTCAATGTATTGTATGTACATTTCATGAGAAACTGTCGTATTGAAAAATTGTCTATACCGAACAGATTTTCTGGTTATAGTCAAAAAAAAAATGGTAGCTTCTTCCGGCCTCTCTCCTGGTCGCTCCGAGAGGAAGGCATCCCATTGGACCGTTCAAAATTCAACGGTCTTCCGGTCGGCAGTGGTAGGCTGCGCGCTGGATGGTGGCGCGCTCCTGCGGGAGATGGTCGAAACCCATTTTGCCAGTGGCGTAGCACATACACATCGATGGTAATGGTTATACTCGTATCATCTAACTTGGATAATTTTTGTTTGTAAAAATTTGACAAATCTTCAAATTTATTATCTAACAGGCGATTAATCGTTGATCTATGAGGAATTTTGTAAAGCTTTCAATAGGTCTTAAAATCTCCAGTATTTCCTTCAAAACCTGAACCTCGGCAGCAGATACAGTATCTAGAGCACCAGTATTTTCTAATAATGGGGTTCATGTCAGGCGAATTGTCGAGAATATCTACTTTTTTTCAGCTAAAAATTTTGTAATTTTTTGTGCACGATGGCAAGGCGCACCATCATGCATAAAAATTGGCTTTTCTCGTTTGTTGAACCATTTTTTCACTTGAGGGAGCAGCTGGGTTTCCAAAACTTCCTGATATTTTTTGGCATTAATTGTACCATCGACAACGTATAAGGCCCCTTGTCCCTTATAACTGATAACTGACCATACCATTACCGAAGGAGGATGTTTAATGGTCGGCACAATGCATTCTGGCTTATATTTCTCATTTGTCCTTCGCCGTACAAACTGCGATTTGTCGACCATTACTTGGAAAATCGACTCGTCCGAAGAACATACCTGAAAAACGACATAGAATTTAGATTAAACAATATCTACAGTACAAGAACGACTTGAATATAGTTATATAGCATTTATTTACGTTCTTCCAGTTATCAGTCGTGAAATCCTTGTATTTTCGTGCCCATTGGTATCGCTTTGATATCATAGCAGGTGTAAGTCTTGGTTTGCGTGCTGGTCTACGTCCAATAAGAATCTCTTCTGCTAACCTCCGCTGCACTGTTCTTTGCGAAACTTCAATGCCGGCTTCAAGAACTTTTTTTGTAAGAATTTTTATCGGCAGTTTTCGATTTTCAACACAAATATTGCGGATTTTTCGGTCACTTGTCTCTGCAGTGATTCTCCGACGACCGCACGCACCTTTACGTTTGGCTCTCAGATTTTCACCGAGGTCTATTTTTCCTTTAATTCGTTTTACAGAACTTTGAGAAACTCCAACAATTCGCGCTATTTGGTATTGTGACATGTTTCGTGCTTCCAGCATGCCGGAAATTCGACCAACTTTTATTGGCGACAAGTCAGACAGTTTTCCCATTCTGAAATTGTTTTTTTATCATAATATGGCCTCAAAACGTGTAAATATATACTTTGACATGTTGTTTTGTCAACAATAAACTCACCTGATGAAATGGAAAAGAGTTGACGCTATTGACACACTTTAAATTGTTGAATTGCACTGTGAAACTGAAACTCTGTTTTTTAGGTTATATGTCTTTTTCGTGACAATCGATGTGAACAATCGATTACCAACATGATCAGTGTTGCCAAAACGATAAAAGTGCCCGCGATATTCAAAAACTCAAGTTCTACCAACATATCTGCAAAAAGTTCATAATAACAACAAGAAATATAAAGTAAAAGTAGATTTGCAGCATGAGTCTAATAATATGGCAAGGGACTGTACTAGATTCTTGAGCATCATTGATTGATGTAGCGGCACCTCAAATCATTTGAGGTGTTTCCACCTGCATTCTTCAGTATATTCGAGCACAGTTTACATCGCGCAGCGTTTTCGGACTCCTTTATGAAGTATTTCGATACGACACGTTTTGGCGGTACCATTTTAACCCGAAACAATCAAAAACCAAAGACACAAAAAGCTAAACAAGGATGAACAAAAACTACAAACGCAAAGGCTAGAAATGGCCGTCTCGTACAGTGTTGCCGTTCATTATCATAGCTTGGAAGGTGTGGGAATCCCAAATCGGCCAAATCCACATATGTAAAACTAGATTGCTGATCAGCTATACACAAGTCGCGGTAATAACTAATCCTAGTATGCAGTACTTTTTTTTGCAGATCACGCAATGTTCTTAGTTTATGATTACGCCAAAGCTAATACCTTTTTATTTTACCAGTTCTCTATATCACATGATAGACACAAATCGCACACGTCAGAACGCTAAAAATGATATTTCGGTATTTTATCGAAATACCGGTATATAAATTGATATACCGAGCACTAAAAACCGGTTGCAAAATATCGGTATATTTTTCACAAATACGGGTATGTTCGGTATACCGGTATACCGTTGCCATCCCTAACACCATCACCAAAATAAAGGAATGGTTACTTTACAATGTTCCTACACAACTCGAAACTCCATCGCAATCCGCGGATATCAATCCCATTGAACGTTTGTGGTACTTGATAGACCTGAAAAAGTAAAATTTGTGCCAAGCGACAGCTACAATATATTTTATGCAGGAATTGGACTAAATTGGATCAGCAATAACTCGGAATTTCCAGGATGGCTTCAGGCCATAATTGATGCAGTTGGTATGATGACAAAGCACTAACTCTACATAACACTTGTGTGCCAATATTTCTTTGATCCTTGAATTTCACTATTTCTGTTATTATTCTTATATAATTTTTGATTTGCTCCATCTACTGCCATCAAAAATGACTGTTTGGATGTTTGTGTTTGAGTATGAAAAAATCCATCTGTCCATTATTGAGATTCAAGAAAAAAATTAGATGTGCCAATACTTTCGTAACCCACTGTATGTGGTTTTAATTCGGCTAGTCAGTGGAGTCCTATGAAGATGAAAACCACAGGATAAGTTTCAGGAGGTAATTAAGACATCCGTGAAATAGAGAGGATATAAGTGAAGGAAGGCGTATGCTTTGGTGCCAAGTAAAACATATTGTTTCAGTGTTTTGAACGCGTTTATTGATCAAACTTACTCCACTTATTGGTTTGAAGAAAATTAATCTGGAACTCACTATACTGCTGAGGCCTTCTTAAAATGTCCAAAATGTTAAATAACTATCTGAAAATAGTTATATGACAAAACAGTTCTGTGATAGGGTGAATTGAATGAACAATGGGAAATCTAGTTTTAACTAAACAAAGTCTCTCTTTTTTTAATCATAATTCTTAATATTACTAATGAACAAGTCATAGCGACGTGGACACGTTCCGTCCTGGTGAGAACAATTAGAATAAGATACAACATTATGAATATATGTCTATATCAAGCACAATTTATCTTTATGTATATTCTTGTCAAAGGTTGTGTAAATACTAAATAAATCTCTATAAATATCTTTGAATTCTATTTCATACCCCCTGGCACCACTAAATATTAGTCTGATGTGCTACCAAGGAAATATCCAAGGAGATCCCGATAGCGTAGTTCATTTTTCTGAAACTTGATATCGAACTATAAAAGGCGCGATCTATGAGACAGTAGCAGAGCTAAACACCTTTAGCTTTTTCCAAAGTAGAGAACAAGGCCAAAATCCCTATAAGCCATAAATTAGCTGTGAAATTCATTTTTGCGTTGAATAAATAGTTTTATTCTTGTTTTATGATTTCTCTACCGCCCTATAGATGGAACAACCCTTAAGTGTTGCTCAACGCCGCACATTTTAATCAGTACCTTGAGGTCCGTGAGCAGTATTTCCAAGCTCGATAAATCTCGATGTAAGTGAGGAGTAGGACGCTTTGTTTTCCAACAAAGCAAACAAAATTCTTCTATACCACTAATATAGCAAATTCAAACATATTAATCTGATTTTTTTACAAAAATTGGGGGATTTTTAAACCCCTGAGGAAGGAAGCTGACCGCCATGATACCATCATTCTTCGATGGGGTAAGGAGTCATTCTACGCAAATATACAGTCCACTCATTCATATAACTGGAACCAGCGCAACCCTATTCGGTGACAACGAGCCGATTGGCCACAGAGTCGGACTATCACTCGAGTCGCACATTTTTTGGTCCATTCGAACCGCATTCGAGCATTAGTGCCGCCCGCGTGGAATCGGCTCAGTGCTAATTGCCAGTGTGTAACAAATTAATATTTTCTTGTGAAAACGCATTTGTTAACGTCCAGGGTGAGTTTTTTATCAAGAATAGGCGAAGTCATAGAGTAACAAGAAAATCCAAATAGGTTGAGTAGCATGTGAATGTATTGCATGTGTATAAAATCAGTGATATTTACTGCGAGGAAATTATTACTACATATGCTGCCAATGAAGAATATCTATTAGCAGTGCCCGACGGGTCATCTATATGTTGTCTTTTTGAAGACATTTTATGTCCAAAGCTATAAATTCCGATATTTACCGTTTTTTTTGGGTTTTCAAAAACTTTGGAAAATTATGGGAAATCACCACCGTGCCCGCGTTGAGGGTAGTTACTGTTAGCATGTATATGACTTGTAATGTAGCAGTGCACAGTCAATATAATTGCAATATGTGGCAGTATGTAATTATAAAATATAAGATGCCACATAAAGTTAATTACTTCACCAACTCGGGATTTTCTTTTCTCATCTCTCTCATTTTTGAAATTCAGCAAATTTGCATATCATGTAATTTTCGGAATGAATAAGAAAAAGTGGATGCGCAACTTATTTCTAGCTTTGAATACATATCAAGTAAAATTGTACTTATGCACTGCCGTTTCCTTCCAGCTATAGTATACAACTTACAGCTTAGACCTCCAGATATTACAAGACATCAAGGCCAAACATTGATAGCTGAAGTGTCATGACGTTGAGGCAACGCGTACAGCTACAAAACGAGTTCACAAGTATACAACAGCTACTGCTAAGTTGACATCTTTTCGGAAAACCTACGTTATGACATAAAAAAAAACCTATAAAATGTAAAAAAACGACAAAATGTCACGTTTCAAGATACGTAATACAGACGATACACATTAATCAAATCCAAGCGAATAGCCAAAATTTCTGTGTTATGTGCCGCGGTTATAATATGGTTCAAGATGACACACGGGTTTATGACGTCAGTTACACGAATCGCTTGAACGCGTTGGTTTTAACTGCGGTTTTGTTGCAAGTTGTTTATTTTAGAAAAGCGCGTATATAATCTCTGATTATTTTTATTATCACTTAATAATCGGTGCTTTTTCGTCTACAACTGTATATGGAAAGTTTAAATAAGAAACCTTTCATAATATTCATGGGAGAAATGTTTTTTTCGGTTTTTTTTTTTAATGATTCAACCATGGCTTGTAGCTATGATAACTTTCAATTCTCTAAATTTTTCCGCATGTCAAAGAAAACATTTATTGATTCAGCAGAAATGATGAAAAAAGAAATTAGCAAAACCGTATACAGGTGGATATCATCTAGTGAGTTTATATGACCATATTTTAATATTCTTGTGGTATATGGCTACACAGGATACTTTGTTAAGCATAGGAACTACATTTAAAGTGTCCCCAACAACCGTAATGAGTATAACTAATAAAGTGCTCCACTTTATGGTAAAACTGAAGTCAGCCTGTATCATTTTTCTCAAAAGTGAAGCTGAAGTAGAATAACAATATCCAATACCCGGCAAAATTCTAACTTGTCACATTTCAAATAATAACCAGAAATATAAAACTACTCTTGAGTTGGGTAAATACCACAATTTTGCGGTGATAACTATGACATATAACAGCTGATTCGTGACGTCACGGATCTTATAACCAAACTGATAACTACACTCGCTTGAACGGATTGGTAAATACCAACCCAAAATGGTAAATACCATTTCCATTTGGTTATCCGCTTGAATTTGATTATACACTGAAGATAGGATGTTGCGCATGTGGGCGGAGCTTCTTGACGTCACCTTGAGAGTTGTCGGCTCGTGATTACCAGCGGCAGGATTGTCGTATCGTGGTTAATACTATATAGTGCGATTTGTTGGTGATTTTTGGTGTTTTTATGACTTGTATTTGTTACACATACTTTATAAACCCTGTGTGGGTTCATAAATTAATAAAAATGTCGGATGTAATTTCGACAACCAATCTAAACGGAGTCCTTGCAAAGATATGAAGTTCCACAGTTTTCCCAAGACCCAAATCTTAGCAAAAAATGGCTACATCTTACAAACATAAGAGACAAAATCAATGTAATAAGCGCTAGGGTTTGCTCGAAGGACTTTTGTGTAAGTGCCTATAAGGTCAATTTGAAGCATACCCTGTTGGGTTACACCCCTAAAAGATATCGTGCTCTAAAAAATGATGCCATTCCTACGGAAAATTTAACCAAGTCTCTATCATCACCTGGACCTTCTACATCTACGCTTCAGCGTCGCCTTCATCAAGACGTGATAGAAAACTTTTTCGGAGTAATTAAGGCAAAAGGTGGTATTCATGACCATCCCAGTCGCCTAGAGTTTAAGTATAGAATAAGGTCATACATTTTGGAGCGAAACGAATGCGCATACTCAGAGTATTGCAGCGTAGAGTCAGATGATACTCCAGACATTCAACTAACCGCATCATTAACGAATAAACTGAATGTACCTGAAGTATCAGCTGACTATAACGAGGGAGTTCTAGTGGGAGACATGTATGAGCTCGAGTATGACGGGCTGGAAATTTTTGCCAGCTTTGTTTGCTATAAATTGCAGGATGAGACGTGAAAAGTTCCTCAAAAAAAACTTACTCCTGGATAGACCATCTTAGTGAGGGCGGATTATCAAAACCTTCCACAGCTTTTATGAATCAAGTTGAGAAGCTGGACAAGGTGTTTACTACAATAAATGGGGACGGAATAGTGACAGAAAAGCACAATTTTATAGGCGAACTTCTGTTGAAGAGCAGCAACATTGACTGCCCTGAAAAAGCTAAAAAAATATTTTTCAGGTCAAGGATGTTCTTCCGGAGCAAAAAACTGAATGGAAGTTTGAATGACCAGAAAAATCGTAAAAGGAAATGGAGAAAAATTGTTGCTTAGACTAAGTCATTTCCATTTATTGTTATACCGCCAGCTTACTGCAAAAAGAAGATAACTCCATTTTTATACTTTTCGAGTTGCGAACGTTTTCACACTTACATGTACTTAAATGTAGTGCAGTACCAATTAACGTCATGGAGCATGTTAATCTTGCCTCATAGAACATACTAAAATATAGGTAATGTATAAAAATGGAGGTATGTTGTTTTTACAGTAAAGTGACGATACGCTTTATTTAAATCCGCCATTTTGTTTTGTATAAAATTTTAATGTAGTTTGTGTTACTCGCACCGCTAAGACGAATCCAACGATACCTAATATGTGAAAATCTATCAAGCCGTTTGAGCTGGAGCCTATAAAATAGGAATTACAAGGTTGAAATCTTTTTTTAAACCCACCATTTTGTTTTGTATCAAATTTTAATGCAGTCAGTGTCACTCGCACCGCTAAGACTAATCCAACGACACATCATATGTGAAAATCCGTCCAGTCGTTTGGCATGTAGGTAAAAATATGCACGTTATCCATATCAACCCAAATGAGAATAATCAAATTCAAGCGAATAACCAAATGAAAATGGTATTTACCATTTGGATTGGTATTTACTGATCCGTTCAAGCGAGCGTGGTTATCAGTTTGGTTATAAGATCCGTGACGTCATGAATCAGCTGATATATGTTAAAGTTATCACTGCAAAATTGTGGGATTTACCCAACTCAGGAGTAGTTTTATATTTCTGGTTATTATTTAAAATGTGACAAGTTAGAATTTTGCCGGGTATTGGATATTTTTATTGTATTTCAGCTTCATTTTTGGGAAACTTGATACAGGCTGACTTCAGTTTTAGCATCAAATAGAGCACCTTATTAGTTATAATCATCACTGTCGTTGGGGACACTTTAAATCTAGTTCCTATGTTTAAGAAAATATCCTGTGTAGCCATATACCACAAGAATATTAAAATATGGCCATATAAACTCACTGGATGATGTCCACCTGTATACGGTTTTGCCAATATCTATTTTTCATCGCTTTTTCCTATCATTTCCGTTAAAGCAATACCTTTTTCCTTCGACATGCGGATAAGTTAAGAGAATTGAAAGTTATCATAGCTACAAAGCCATGGCTCCATCATTCAGAATTTTTTTCTGAAAGAAAAAACATTTTTCCCATTAATATTATGGAAGGTTTCCTTTTTAAACCTTCCATACACTGTTGTAGACGAAAAAGCACCGATTATTAAGTGATCATAAAAACAATCAGAAATTATATGCGCGCTTTCCTAAAATAAACAACTTGCAACAAAACCGCGGTTAAAACCAACGCGTTCACACGATTC